AAGTATAATAAGGACAAGTATTAGAATGTAACCCTACAATCTGATACTTTTCTCCTCTCACTAATCCTTAACACTTCGATCTATCTTCCTCCACCCACTAATTTCTAACGCTTTCACCATATTTTAAATAATTCCATATTGCCTACCTTCGCACTTACTAACTACCTCCGCCCTCCCTTCCCTCCATTAATTTTCCCTATACAAACCCCTTCTGAAAACTCGGGGTCTGTAGTCGCGGAATCAACGCGTGCTGTTGGCCTGCCACGACTAACGCTACTAATTGGCCGCCTCGATACGACTAGCGTCCTTCTTCCGCTGAATAAATCGTGCGGCGCCCCGGATTATTTTGCTGAAGTGAAGCTTTGTTGGAGAATAAAGTGCTGGCACTCTTCACTGTCTTCCGCTGCTGCAGTCAACGACCACGTAAGGACCTAACAAGGATTTTAAACAACCACCTTTATAATGTAAAAGAAAAAATTAGGCATAGCCTAACAACTAGTTCTGTTATACTATCTCCTATGTTCTAGAACATTTGTGTTTCCTGCGACTGGCTAATGCCACTACTACGGACACTTGGCAGAAGTTCATCACAATTAACTACTCTAAATTAAGCTGTTTTGTGACAAAGCTGCGTTTATGATAAAAGGGGGTATTATATGACGTTTTTATTTTTCCCCGATCCCCTCTTCTATTTTTCAGCTCCCCATTAACCGTCTTCTGTCCCCTTATTTTAGATACTGTAATCTTCCTTCTAGAGGGGACGAATGCTTCCCGAGTCTGCAGACACATCTGTTACATCGGTAGATTCGGCTTGATGAACTACGTCCCTCCCCCTCCCTCGTATCTACTATATAAGGGTGCCCCTTCATCAGTTGGAATCCAGTCCTATCCATCGTGCGTCCAATCTCGTCCCCTCATCGTCGTTGCGATAGGATCTTCACCGGGCTCTCAGAATTGCTCTTCGACTTTAACTAAATACCTTAACGGGTCCCCTCCCTTCTCCTCCTCCACCACCCTTCCTCTCCTCC